GGCTGCAATCCATGGGGTTGCAAAAGAACTGGACACGACGTAACAACTAAACACCACCACCAACAACTGTGCAGTTGGCCCGTGGGCTATGAGCAAATCCCCCTGTCTGTCAGTGCTGGCCCCACTGGGGCTGGTAGGCGCCAGGTCTGGGGGCACTCCAAGGGTTGTGTTTTGAACAGGTTGAGATGTCCTTGTGACAACTACGTGGAGACAGAAAGTGAAAGTGAAAGTCACTCAGTCGTGTCCAACTCTTTGCAACCCCATGGACTATACAGTCCATGGAATTCTCCAGGCCAGAATACTGGAGTGGGTAGCCTTTCCCTTCTCCAGGGGATCTTCCCAACCCAGGGATCAAACCCAGGTCTCCCGCAATACAGGTGGATTCTCTACCAATTGAACTAAAGTGGAGACATCAAACAGGCAATTGGATGAGAGCATTCCAACCTTGATCTCAAATGAAAATATAAATTTGAGAAATCATAAATGTAAAAAAATGAAATTGTTATAGCCTTTGGAATCAGAGTAACAGAAAAGTTAACCACATTACAGCAAGTCTAGAATTCTACAATTTAAATTTCCTTTCCTATATTGAACCTACAGTTTACTTAATTTTTGGTAATAAAATTTCCTCTGGAATACAACTTTTGCATTATTCATGAATGGACTGACTATGCTCTTTCCAGCAATTTATGGCAGTTCTTATTTCTTTACATCACTGACAACACTGTGTATTATTTAAAAACTATTTACCAATATTATTACCAAAGAATCAGAGAACATTGTTAAAGCTATACTTCTTTGATTATTAAGATTGAGCATTTTTTCATATATTTGTCAGTCATTTGTCTTTCTTCTTTACAGAGTTGCCTGTTTATATAGTCTTGCTATTTTCTCTTGAGAATTCAATTTTTATGTCAACAAAAAATGAAACCTTTTTCTACAGCAAAGACCTTGTTCCTGTGACTTGCATTTCTATTGAAAACTTTCCTCCAGTTACCACTTTCCTTTTCATTAAAAATTTTTTTTTGTTATTGTTGCTTGACCTACATATTTGGGTTTGTGCCTTTGGTATTTGAGAAAAAGTTCTTCTCCTATCATATATTTAAATATTTGATTATTTTTATAGCATATTATTTCATTGAAACATCTAATCCAGCTCAGATTTATTATGGTGTAGGAGTGGGATGCACCAAAGTAACTAATTCTCTAACTAATTTTTTCTGAGTAACTAAACATTATTCCTGCATGGTAGGCTTGTTTGTTTTTGTTGGCAACTTAGGTGATTTAATAACATGATGGAAAATAACACAGCCAAATAGCTTGGCATGTATCTGCTTCTAAAAGGGTATTCGAATATTTGCTGAGGGTTTGGGGAAGTTATATTCTCTAGTCCTTGAGGGGAAAAAATAAGCCCACTTAAATGCTATTCCTCTCTGACATAATTGCTATTTCTACCTTCTCATAGTAAGGGGATTAGCCCAGATGCCTTTCCGAGAAAGCTCTAGCGAGTGCACTTGGCTCTGAACATTCTAATGCTTGCAAACCTTACCCTTTGTCCATCGGTTTACTTTTAAGATAAAGGTACTAAAGATGCTTGTAAAGATACAAGATGAGGGTATGCACATATATTTAAGACTCTAGTTACTCCTAAGAGTTACTTCTCTATTAAAAGTGGTATTTGTAAGCAGAATTATGTGGGGCCATTTCTCCTAACTTCTTTCAAGTATGTTACATTTCTATTAAGATCTTTTTTATTTTATACATTTCCCCCTTAGCTTTATAAATGTGTCCATATAGGCATAGGAACATAAAATCCACTATTTTCTTGCAGTAGGTTAAATATCCACATCCGTATTTCCTTTATGTCAAATGGAGCGGTCCTGGAATAAATGAAGTTTTTCATTTTTATCTATGCCTGTCTTTCTCCTTGTCTACCTTGTGAGATTTAAAATAGCCAAATCTAGTAAGAGTAATAAGGGAATCCTAGTACAATGTCTCATAGAGAACAGGTGGTAAATAAGTATTTGGCATTTATAGATAATCATGAAGATAGTGTTCAGAATATAAATAATTCCTTATGCTTTCATGGTCTTAGATACAAAGTGTTGATGACTTTCAGAGTGATTTGAACCTATTATTATCTGATGATATCTTCCTCAAAAGATTTTTTTTCTTCTAAGCCTTTTTACTCTCGTTGTAATTCTTGGTTAGTCTGCCTACGAATAAATGAACAAATTCACGGAGGTTTGGATTATCTTTCTTTTTTTATTTTTCATCTCTTTTACAATGGGACCCCATACCAGCCCAAAACAATATTTGGAAAATAGAAAAACAGCAAAGGGATAATTCATGAGCTATACTGGGAATACACTGTTATTCTATCTCTAAGGACCTGCTATAAAAAATGAGGCACAAAAGCAAAAATAAATGTTAAGAAGCGAGATGAAGAGAGACCAGGAGTCCATTGTAGCTCGTTTTTTTTGTTTTGTTTTTAATTGTTTAGAGTCAGGATCTCATCCTGGGGTCCAGGATTGACTTTGTTATGAGGAACCAAAGAAGGGAATGAGTCCCTAAATACTCTAAAAATCGATGTGAAATTTCAGATATATATAATCCTTTTCATTTTGTGGGGAGGTAGGGAAAAGTTTCATAGCTTTACTCACATATTTATAGGAATCCATGATCACAAAAGGGTGAAGAACCACTAATATAGAACAACCAGAATTACAGTAAATGAAAATTTTCTCTTTTGAGTTCTGTCAGGAAATTAAATCTTTCAGCATTTCTCCCCTTCCTTTCTTTGCCCTAATTCTCTTTGATAAATTTAATGCTTTCAGAGCTATTTTGCCGAAGCTTATAGAAATGAATAATTTAGAAAACAGCTGGAGCTACCTGGACTCACAGATTAACTAAAGGGTTTCATTAAAGCTCAGCATGGTATTTATGAAGAGGGTGGTCCTGAGACAAAAGACACCAGGGGGTAGAAGTGCCTTTCTACTCTTGAGCCTATTGCTGAGCCCATCAGCTGGCATGGTTATTCTGGATGGTTAGAAGCCCAGCAGATTTGGCATAAAGACAGTCAGTGGCCAAACATCGTGGAAGAGACAGAGAATCCTTGCAGGACATTCAAATCCTCCACCCAAGTTGGCAACAAAGGGAGAGGGCACAAAACAGGAACGTGAGTCAAAGAAACGTTCGAGCTGCCTGCTTAGGTGATCCGATGTCTTCTCCACATGTCTCCTCTCAGCAGCTGCTTTTATCGGCTACTTCAGAGAAATGTGGACAGCTCCCATAATGCACCTCGTGGGCTCTGCCAAATATGTGAAATCCTGGCAGAAGCAAGTAGCCGGGATCCACGCTTTCCACCTGGCATTTAGCTAAGGGATAAAGTTTGATGACCATCATATATCTTCTGTCACTTCTTTGCCCTTTCCATAATAAGACTTACAGATGTATTTAAATCCTGGAATCCATTTTTAACTTTCTTAAAAAAAATGTGGGTCATCAAGTCGGGTCCTTTTTCTTATCCTTGCCATGAGATTTATTTTTAAATTGTTTAATTGATTTTCAGAAAATACTTTCAAACGTTGTAGGTCCTGAGCCTCTTTTGCAAAGGTATTTATTAAAATCATACTCCTCTTTCTTTGGCCCTCGTGATGACCTTTGATAACTTTAGATGAAAAATTTATCAAGCCTCTTTCAGGCCTCCTCAATATCTGGCAAATATATATTAATACACACAGTCAGAGTACGTTTGCAAAGAAAGTATTTAATTCTTTAGAATGTTTATGGGGGCTGAGATAAATGAAGTGCTCCTTGGCCCTCACATTTTTAATAAAGAAGATTCACTTAAATTCTGGGCTCCAAATAAAAAATTTCCAAAGATGTCTCCTAGGATTTTTAGGTACAACGATGTCTCCTAGGATCTTTATTGCCCTCAGAGCAATAAAGAATCTGGTTTGTCTGTCTTTTTAACCATGATTACAGTTGTGAGAAGTTTTGACTGATTCTGTGACATTAAACAAGACCAGAACTTGGGAATGGATGTGGGTTTTGATCACCATTACGATTTCTCAGAGAAGAGAAAGTAAGTAAATCACAAAACTAAACACTGGACACAAGGTTTGTAGAATTCTGAGTGTAGATATGGCTTCAGAAAGAACTGACTTCAGGTTAAGCGCACACCAGACTAAATGACTATGTGATGTTTCTATATGATTCTGAGTCAAGTGATTCCGTCATTATTTTTATAAATAATTCACAGGTGATTTTTCTTCCAAATTTGATGTACAGATTCTTCCTGTAAGCTAACTAGTTATAATAATGGGACAGCCCCCTTGGCCTTGGTAACGGGTGGAGGAATAACCAGAAGTGTCAGTTTTTATATGAGATGTATCATTTTTATAATAGAGCACAAATGGCAGCAAGGTTGGGCCATTTATTTTGTGATTATATAAAACCCAGCTGTCATCTTAGCTGCATATTTGTCTTCAAGAGAAAGCAAATGAATTCCTAACATTTCATCTCAAGCTGCTCTTAGATCATCACATTTGAGTAACAGACCTGATATTGCATCAAAATAATGTTGTAAATGAAAGCATTTAAGGTTCTTGAATGTAAATGGGGTAGAAACCTAACACCTTCTAGAAGTATAGTACATAATAGACAAGAAGAAAGGGATAAAATGATTTTTGGTTCAATTAAACTGAATAAAATGCAAAGGGATAAAAGTCATTAAGAAATGAAGTATGCCTTGATTGCAGTGATAAAGAAGTCAACGCAATAGATTTGAATTTAAGCACAAGTTTAGTGAACTTACAGATTACTATTTGAGATCAACATTAAGAACAAAAAATAATTTTGCGTTCTGCAGAGTAAATTCACAAGCAGGCTGTCTTACTAATATTGAAGGAAACATGTTTCTTAAAGCTTGTCTTGTTGGATTATGTCAGAAGCAGAGCTGTGCTTCCTGAGGGAAGATGAGCTTCTTCTTGGGCCCGTCAGCATGAAGCTCTCACTGTTCTGCCCTTCAGAGGCTGGGGCGGCCGGTTGTTGCACTTGATGGGGACTTCTCGATCACCTTCAGCGCTTGCTAGCAGACTGCGGAACTGCGCCAGCTTGGGGGAAGGATAACATGTTTAGAGAAGCAAAAGCTATTGATGTCACACAGAACACTTTTTTTTCCTAATATGATTGATGCACTGATATTTAGAAAATCGGTTGAAGACTGCAGTGGCTTCACAGATGGAAAGGGAGGAAGCCAACAGTTCTTCCACATGTCTTTGCACCAAGCATTTGGCTTCAATTATCCATGACTGACTGGATTAGGATCCCAGCTTTCTCACGCTTGGGAAAGAGACTGCCCTGCTTGGCGCCTCCATTTCCATATGGTGCTATTTCATTGTGTGTTGGTGAAGGCTAAATGGGCTGACACACATCAGGTTCTTAGAATGGCGCTTGGCATTGCTAAAGAAGTCTTAGCTCTTACACCGACAGGTCACACTGCCTGTCCTACAGGCTTGCTGTGCGCCTTGACTGACGAAGCGTCTGGGAGGCACCTGATAAAGAGTTGCTCAATCAATGGCGGCTGCTGCTGCTGCTGAGTCGCTTCAGTCGTGTCTGACTCTCTGCGACCCCATGGACGGCAGCCCACCAGGCGCCGCCGTCCCTGGGATTCTCCAGGCGAGAACACTGGAGTGGGCTGCCATTTCCTTCCCCAATGCATGAAAGTGAAAAGGGAAAGTGAAGTCGCTTCAGTCGTGTCCGACTCTCTGCGACGCCATGGACGGCAGCCCACCAGGCTCCCCCGTCCCTGGGATTCTCCAGGCGAGAACACTGGAGTGGGGCGCCGTTGCCTTCTCCGCAATCAATGGCGGGTTTTATCATAATGATAAACAATAATCAATGAGATATTTTGCTGAATATTTAAGAGCTTAAGCTTTAAAAAAGAACGGAAAACCGACGTCAACGACCAAGGTACGCCGCTCGGGCGTCACAGTTCCCGAAACCTGAGTGGCACTCCCAGTCACCGTTCTCTTTTGCTGTTGAAGCTCTTAGGAAGATACGTAACAGGGCTGGAGTTTTCCTTATTAAGGTGAAAAGAACAGCGGGAATTCTGAATCTCTACATAAAGGGAAGAAAGTGCTTACAAATACACTTTACTTTTTGGTTATTAAATAGACCTTGTGTCGCTAACAAATCTTTTTCAGTTGAAGGAAAAGGGAACTCTCCAAAATCAAATTGCAATAATAGTTTCCCTCAGTATGAATTGAACTGATATTCCTGCTTTGCACTTCCAATTTCTGTGCATGCCCCTCCGATACTCTACCTGTTCTGAGCTCACGCTGATGTGGTCTTTAAAGATGATCCAGGTGACACTGTCGTGAAGCGGAGGGTGAGTCAGTGAACCAAAGTAGGTCCAGTATTCTGGGGATGAAGGCAGGAGGACAGAGGGGTCGAAATTTGTGAATGGGGCTTGCTTGTTCTGAGAGAAAAAGAAAAGCAATATATGATTGTGCCATGATATAAAATATTTACGTCATTACATATATGACATACATATTATTTGGTAGATAGGTCTTAGCAAAGCATTTAATCAATTTTTCTACTACATAGTATTTCATGACTGGTATGTTTGTGGTGGCTCAGCTCTCCATTAATTCAGGAGACACAGGTTTGATCCCTGGGTTGGGAAGATCCCCTGGAAAAGGAAATGGCAACTCACTCCAGTATTTTTGCCTGAAGAATCCCATGGATGGAGGAGCCTGGTGAGCTACAATCCATGGGGTCACAAAGAATTGGATACCACTTACTGACTAAATAACAACAACAACATGTTTGTAAATATAAACAGTAAAAGTAATAGATAACTGAAAATATGCTACATTAGAATTGTGATTGATTTGTCTTCTTCCTTCTTCACTTGGATAAGTATAAGCAAAGGTTAAAAATTTTTTTATAATCTATATTCTTTATTCTTATTTCTTTACTGATTGGTCATATTGGTGTATAGAAAATAAATTGATGTTCGTATGCTACTATTTTATGTAGTCAACTTTATTAGAACTTGTGTATTAAGTATGTTTATTTTGTAATTTTCCAGGTGGATGTCAATGATCATATCCTCTACACTTGATGATAGTTTTGTCTTTGATTTTCTAATACTCATCCTAGTATATACTCAGCTCTCTCATTATTCAACTACATTGATTAGGACATTCATTGGAATGTTCATTTGTGGTGGTCACAATTGACACCCTGGTTTTATTCTTGATTGAAATGAAAACGCTTCAAATATTTCACTACTAAGTTTGATGCTTGATTCCAATTTCTATTTGGTATTCTTTCTTAAGTTCGATTTAAGTTTTAACAGAATTTTTTTCTTTCTCTCTTTTACTCTTCAGGAATGGACACTGAATTTTAATCAAACGTTTTCCAAGCATCTAACAAGTGAAATTTGCTAATGTAATGAATTATATTGGGAGATAGTCTAATATTGAATCATCTTTGCATTCCTTGGATAAATTCTACTAGTTTGAAAGCATGAGTCTTTTAATATACTGTTGAATATGATTTGCTGTAATCTATTTTAATATTTCTTTCAGCTACATTCCTAAGTAAGACTGGCCTATGATATCCTTTTTGTGGTGTTCTTAACCAGTTTGGGTATTAGGTTTCATTAAATTAAATTGAAATAAGTTTTTTGGTCCCCTAATCTATGCAGTTTAGTTAAAAGTGGCATGACTATTTATTAAAAGTTGTGTAACGTTTCCCCATAAAGTGGTCTGGGCCTAGAGTTTTCTTTTACTGGATACATTTTTTTTTTTACTATTTTTTCAACTTTTTTTTAGATTATTGGTCTATTTAGACTTTCAATAAATTTTGAGTCAGTTTCTCTACATTTTCCCAGGCATTCATCTATGTGATCTAAATTTTTGAATTTGCTTGTGTAGTGTGGTACTGCTGACCCTTGAACAATATAGGGCTTAGGGGAAATCCGCACATAACTGTATGGTCGTCCCTCATAATCGTGGTTGGGCATCAGCGGGTTCAGTTAGGGGACAACTGTGTGGTGCTAGAGCAAGCATTGATCAAAAAAATAATCCACAGTTTACTGGGCCTGTGCTATTCGAACCCATGTTGTTCAAGGGTCAACTGTACAAGCTTTTCTCTTTTAACACCTTCTAATACATCGTTAATTATGACCCATTTCCTTATTTGTAATAATTTTTTGTATTTATACTCTTTCCCCCCATCATCAAAAGTGCCAAAAGTGTCTTTTTTTGGTTATTTTTCCCAAAGAATTAGCTTTTCATTTATTCATATTTATTAGCATTTCACATTTATTAGCATTTCATTTATTCATATTTTCTCTTATTTTATTAATTTTTTGCTTCATCTAAATTAATCATTTCCTTCCACTTTCTTTTCATATATAATTTTTTATATTCTTGAATTGAGTGCTTATTTATCTTTAAACTTTCTCACTTTATAAAATACGCATTTGAAGTTTAATTTTTTTGGACTCAACATGAACTAGATTTATTTTATATAAAAGTATGATAGGTCTCCAAACTGTGAATGACAATGGCAAATCTCTGACATATGATTTAACTCTTTATTATCAAAATGGTGAAGCTAAGGTTAAATATATCAGAGAAATTCATCTTTTTCTAAGCTGACAGTGGGCAACATGGTTATGATCCGTGAAACAGCTATGAAAACCATTCTCCTACAGGCTTCATCATGCTGAAATGGATAAGCAGTAACTATGAGATACAAAACCAAAATAAATCACCAAGTCACAGACCTCAGAAATAAGGAACATGATTCTCAGATTGATGGTTTTGCTTAGGACTTCCTACTCCTTATATCAAATATGCAATTAAATAATTTCCATGGTTCTGTGGATTCTTGTTCTCTGATTTAAACTAACTTAATTAGTCTATTTACCTTAGTTTTAATTGCTTGTAGGGCATCAAGTACTTTCTGCAGATTTGGGTTGGCCTGACCCACCTAGAGATTAAAAAAAATAAAGTGTGAGATAAAAATTGTTATCAAGTAAAATCCTATTTAGTTAATTTTTTAAAAATTAAAAACAGAAAAGATATGCAAGTCAAAATACAGGGATTTAGCAAAACTAAAATACAAAAGCAAATCTCTTTGGTCTGTTCTATTAATTAAAATGAATGGCATGTTATAAGTGTTCAATAAAGATTAACTAGAATTGCTATTATTCCAACAGTTGGTAACCCAAATATACTCAATTTAATAATAACTTCCCTATAGGACTTTTCAGGAACTCTCCAGTAGAAGATTTAAATCATCCATATTAAATATCAATTGAACTTTCTTTATGGGACAAATGTCCTCTTCATATTTTTTTCCTAATGAAATATTAAATTGATAAACTCCTGACTCTGTGATGTAGAAAGTTTAGAAGGAAAGTGAAAGATGAGCTGCAAAAGAAAAAAATTAGTCCCACCATCAACACCTTCCCATTTCACCTCTGCCTGAAATTTATTTCTCTCTTCAGGAGGGGGAAGTCAAGAGAAAGCAGACATATACTAGAGACCCGCTTGTTTACCTGTTCTGTCACTAGTAGAAGGGGACATTTCAAGAAAAGAAAGATGCAAATATCTCTCTGCTGTATTTCATCCTATTTTGAGGTCTGATTGGTAAGGAATAATTTTAGCATAGCTCTGATACTCTCTACGACTCACCTTCACCAAAACACCAATAATCGCCAAACCATCAGCCTGTGAGGCAGCATCAGCAAAGCTGGGGTACTTGGCAGAATTCCAGTGAACTAAATGAAGCTAGAAACACAACGTGATTGAGCAGTTTCTCATACCACTGTGAAGGTAAAATGCAAGTTAGACCTTAACATGTTGATATATAAAGATGTATCTTGGCTTGGATAGATAAAACTTGTGTGACCCTTCATTCAGGGCATGGGAAGGGCTATGCTTGCACTCTTAAGAAGGGTTTTCTTAAGAAAATAGAGTTGAATAGAGTTGGCACATTGCAAATCCTGGAACCAGTAAGTAAAACTTCTTTCTTCCACAATATCATAACTATTCAATGTTACTTCTTAAAAAAAAAAAAAAAACACCTCTCTGTTTGGTGTGAGAAGATCAAGTATTTCTGGCTAACTAGTTTGGAAACAAAAACTGAAATAATTTTCTAACTTGAGGTACTTGATAACTTTGTGAGAACGGGCTCCTAAGGTATCTGGAGTCTTGGCCAGGGGCAGGTTCTCTTGAGCATATCCAGACACCTTTCAAACCAACATCCTCAGCCTAAGTCCTCTCTGAAATTCTGGACCTGTATATCCAAGTATATGTGCACGACTTCCTGATACTTTCTTGATATCTCCACATGGATACCTGATATGAATCTCAAACTTAACAAGGCCAAACTAGCACTCCTGACTTTCTCTTTTCCAGACCTGTTTCATTTTCCCATTTTAGGAAAAGGCATCACCTTCCATCTAATTGCTCAACTGAAAAATGCAGCAGTTTTTCATTTCTTACTTTTCTCCACTTATTGGCATCCATCCTTCAGCACAGTGCATAGATTTTAGCCTTGCACGTAGTTCACAGCTTTAAGTCTTTGCATTACCTGCTGATTTTCCTCTGGGATGTCAAGTCAAAATGGCAGGATTTTGACCGGAATTATGGCTGAACTCAAATGCTACTCCTGAAAAAGTCTTTTTCTGACCACCTAACGTAAAGTGATCAGCAGGTCACTTGGGTCACGCTAAACCACACCAGTCCTCTCCCCGCCACCCACACATCTTGTCTCTCTCTCTCTGTCTTTCTCCCCTCCTCTCTCCTGCTGATCTCCCTCCCACCATCCCTCCTACCCTCTCTCATACGGCGAACTTAGTGACTGAGTACCTGTCAGCTCTAGCCTGGATTAATTTTACTTTTCTCAAATTAGATAAGAGAGTCATTGATTCAGATTTCTTAGATACAACCAAATATCCTGCCCCTGACATAATACTATTACTAATTTAGGCTTTCGGCCCATTTGATTTCAGTCTACTTTCAATTTTATGAAAAATAAATAGAAAAAAAAAAACATGTAATGGATTTCTGTACCATTGAAAGTTACTAGCCTGGCTTTCCAGTGTAACATAGTTTTATTTGTATACTATTCCCAAGTCTTCTATCAAAATGAATAATACACATGCTTTGTACCTAACAATCCCTCTTATAAAAATCTGCCGTACACAATTGCTTTCACCAGTGTGTAAGATATTTGTACAAATGTATTCATTGCCGATCTTCTTTGTAAAACAAACAAACAAACAACAGAATGAAAAGCAAAAGGCACTGCAATTGTTCCTATGTAGGAATTAGTTAATAAATTCTAACATATGTATACATGGAAATACCATAAGACTTTAGGAATTCCTACTGACTTGGAAAAATGATCATGATCATTGGCAAATGAAAAAAAAAAATGTTGCAGAACTATGTGTATTACAAATTCATTCTACAAGAGTAAAACAAAAAAGCCAACCCGTCTGTATTGGTACAAACATATTGAATAGTCATACATACAAAGAACAAAAATTTTTTGTTTTCAGTCTCCGTACCCACTGTTGAGAGTTTGAGGCACATTTTCTTGATTTTACCGTGGACATACAGACAGAATGTCTTGAATTGAATCACAGACTTCCATGTGGAGGCAAGTCAAGAGGCCAGAAGGTAGTGGCCTGCGGCCAGGGAACCCCAAACCCTCATCCGGAGTATGCTACTCATTGTGATGACTCTGGAGGTTAAACTGGCCCTCCAGTAGGATCTTAGTGGAGTGCCTTAGCCTGGCTACACTCTGCTACGGGTGTGTGCACCCTGGAACCTTTAAATGAGAACAGAAATGGTGTGTTCCTGCTGGGGGTCAGAGCTTTAAAAGGAGAGTAGCAACTCCCTTTGAGGTTAGCCTGATGTCAGGCAGTTTTTGAGACATTCTGAAATGAAAGTGGATTCCGAGGCTCAGGAGTTTGTCTGCAAGTTCCCCTGCCTCCCTCACGTGAAAAATTATCCTTTGTGGCCAAACGCAGTGTGTCTGTGTAAGGTTAGTGGAACCTAGGAATTCTTCACAGGCCCAAGAATGCTCACTCCTTTGGAGCCCTTGAAATTGTGTCTTATGTGATAAGGGGAGCTTCCCTGATGGGTCAGAGAGTAAAGAATCTGCCTGCAATGCAAGAGACCCTGGTTTGATCCCTGGGTGGGGAAGATCCCTTAGAAAAGGGATAGACAACTCTAGTTGTCTTGCCTGGAGAATCCCATGGACAGAGGAGCCTGGCGGGCTACAGTCCATGGGGTCACAAAGAGTTGGACACGACTGAGCGACTAACACACGTACACATGTTAGAAGGGCGCTACTTCTGGGAGGACTCGGTGTAGCTTTCCCTCACTTACTAAGCTACATTACCTCTGCAGAAAATTTGGCTCCATCCACTAAGTGCTCAGAGCCATAGTCATCTGTGGTGCCCCAGTGAAAATGGAACTGACGCAGCCTGTAGCTTTCACACAGAGGACCACCGTTCAGCACTAGAAGAAAAAGGAAACTGCTATTAGTGTCACAGTCATAAGCTCCAGCTTGTCTCTACATTTAAGACAAATTAACATTCAATTGGATTGAGTAGAAATGAAAATAAACAGTAGTGCCAATGTTTCCATCTTGTTGGTTTTTTCCCCCCATGTCCACAATGATGGTCTTCAAATGTGTGGGGCGCCTTAAGATAGTGCGTGAGTTATATGTGGTTCTCAGCACATGGGCTATAACTTTATCTTTTCCTGTTTTCAAGAAAACATAGTGGGAGATGAGTGAATTATAGGATTATAGGCCTTTCCTTGAATCATTCTTTCAACAGACAGTAATGGACAGTATGCATTAAGATATCTAGCAATTTATTTTTAGTAACAAATCACTCCACACATAGCTTGTAACTGATCAAGATACAAGAGGGTATTCTGTCAGCTTTGCTGAGAATCCCTAGCTAGGGACCAAAAGAAAGTTCCAGCAGGACAGTAGGGTCACTTTTTAATTTAATTTAATTTAAATTTAAATTTTAAAATTCTAACACTGAAGGGTCACTTTGCTTTAGAGAGTCTATCCAACCATATGATTAATAAAACACACATACTACCAGACCTAATCCAATATTAACAAAGGACGTAGCACCAAGATGTCTAAACTTTAGGCTTAGGACCTTGGAGGAAAGTGTTAAGACAAATTTTGCCTTTTGACAAAATAGTAGAGCTGATTTATTAATCTGTGATTTAATAAATTGCTCAGTAAGCAGCTTTGAGAATTTTCCTGTGGACGAGGAAGTGCGCTAGATTCTGGGAGATGAAGATAATTCAGTTACTATGATCTTAACAGAGAGAGGGGAAGCTAGACAAAGATACTTATGCACAGAATGATTCCATCCAAGATACACCCAAGACCAGTTTTCTTTTCTTTTTTTTTTTTTTACTGGTACTCAAGCACTTCACGGTTATGGAGGCTTTTTTTCTGGCCACACAAAATAAATATACTCTTCATCTATATATCTTCCCTAATGTGCTCCTCCACCCTCATCTCAATTAGAAAATGTTTGCCTTTTCAGTTTTTACATTCGTGAGGGTTCACAGAATTTTGTGAAAAAGCCTGTTTATTCAGAGGGTGTAAAGTTGGCATAAAGACACTGGGAGCCAGAAGAGATGGAATAGAGTCACTGAGAAAGAAAAGGGCTGAAAAAAGACAGAGCCGGGAGTCCCCAGAGTCACCTTTAACACTTGGCAATATTTTACAACTTCAGGATGCCTCAGTAGATGGCATCTATGCTACACATGTGCACAAAAGACTGAACACGGGTGTTTGTGTTTCTGAAAGCGCTATTGTTTAAATTTCCCCAGTAAAGTCAAAGACAAAAATTAGAAGGCTCTTTTGGCTCACCCGATCTGTTATCGCTGTCCTCAAAGTTTACATGAAAGGAATGTCCCACGTTGACGATTTCTTTGGCTGTAGCTGGGTTGTAGGAGACACTGACAGGTTTCAGAGACGCATCATGTTTGGTTTCACTGGTTTTAATGTCGATAGGAGATTGGTTATTTCCATTTGCGATGGGGTACAGCTTGTCCCAGTGTTCAGGACCTACCAGGACAAGCATATGATTACAATCAAAACTCGATCTAATGCTTGAGTCCAAGTTTTAGGAATATAACTTTACTAGATTAGGATTTACTCAGGTATCTTAAATGATATTCTGGTTAACTTAATGGAAATTCAAGGTTTGAGAATGCCCCTTTTCCATGCTACACTATAAAAGTGTCTTTGTCAACAGAAGTAATATAGTCTATGGGATCAGACTATACATATTTTGCTGTTAGCAATAGACCTGTCTATACATTGAGAGGAAGAGAGGAGAAAAAAGGCAGAATACATTTTGTAGACAATCATGGCCCAAAGGACAACTGTTGAGAATGCATGCAAAGCAAATATAAGTCAAAGGCACTTCAAACTATTAATCTACGACTTTACCGTTATTTTAAGTGCTCAATATCTCTTTTACTGGAAAAGGGAATAAGCTGCTATTTGATCTATATGAGCAGAAGAATGCTTACCATTTTCACCATCATATCCCCAGGCAGGACTTGCCATGATCTTCTACTAGTTTTCTTTTTCTGAAAACAAAGATAATACCTGAAACAACTAACTGTTAACTGAATGTGCAATAGGCAACTGAAACCACAGTTTGCAGGTTTTTATAGAAACCTCTCTGCCTTTGTGCATACGTATTAGTCACTCAGACCACTATTTCATCATCTTTATCTATCAGGAAGTATATGCATGTTAAAAAAAAAAAAGGTATTGTTTAAAAAAGCTCACAAAGGTCAGGTCAGGTCCAGTTGTTTTATTTTCTTATATTCTTAAAGAGAAATATCAACATCTTAGCTTCTGCAAAACCAAGCCCTGTTATTCTCATATTAGTAGAAGATACGGCTGAGTTATCACACATGATTCTTTGAATTTCTAATTAAAAAAGACTGTGCATTTGAGATTCCCAGCTTTTACCCTTGCTGGACACTAAAGCAATGCTAGCAACAGTAATTAAGTCAGGAGAATAATTTGCATATTTACAGGCAGATCAGAACCAATATCATGATGTGAATTTAAAATCAGATAAGAGAATCACTAATCATTTGTAATACATTGGGTTTGTAATTTGTAATATATTATAAAATCTTATGGAAAAACCCAAACTTTTTGGCCAACTCAATATATTATTAATGACAGTACATTTCAAAGGCATACGAGATGAGAGTAAAGTTCCGCATCTTTGAGCAGTATTGGAATTCACAAATAGAGATTTGTTTTATGTGTGAGCACAGTTGTGTTCGACTCTTTGCAACCCCATGAACTGCAGCCCACTCCCCGCCCTTCTCTGCTGCCTCACAGGCTGCCAGCTTTAATCTGTGTGCAATCATTCATGCATTCAACAAATCATTGTGTGTGTTTGTGCAGTTGTGTCCTTCTCTTTGCAACCCTGTGGACTGTAGCCCACCAGGTTCCTCTGTCCATGGGAATTTTCCAGGGAAGAATACTGGAGTGGGCTGCCATTTCCAACTCCAGGGGATCTTCCCAACCCAGGGATTGAACCTATGTCTCTTGCATCTTCTACATTGGCAGGTGGATTCTTTACCACTAGAGCCACCATTAATGGAGAACATTTTATTAAGACTGAAATTAAATACAGTCCAATGCTTATTTTACGCATCAAATATCAAAATAGAAGCCTTTCTTTTGTATAGTTCTATACAATTAGTAGAAAGAAAAAAAAAACCTGGCTGCTAACGCATGAGATGTAAGAGACATGGGTTCCATCTCTGGGTTGGGAAGATCCCCTGGAGGAGGAATTGACAACCCATTCCAGTATTCTTGCCTGGAAATTTCCACGGACAGAGGAGCCTTGTGGACTACAGTCCACAAAGAGTGAGGCATGACTGAGCGCTCACATACGCATATGATTTATAGGGCACTTTCATATTATTTTACCATCAACACCACCCACAAAAATCCTATACAATGAGTTATCATTTTGCAGCTGAGAGATGTTGAGGGTCTTCACCACAACCAGCGAGAAGCCAAGACTCCAGCCTCCACGTCTAGCTGCTTTCTTTGCCTTCATCTCCTCGGAAGGCCGCGCCGGCCGAGCCAGGAGGCAGGTGATCCCCAGTTTCCCGTCTCGGCCCACAATCCTCGTAAGTCCAGCTGAAGCCTGGACTGAGGTGAGGCTTGCCAGCTGTTGAGTGATGAGAAGATTCACAGGACTTGTCAAGGAGGCAGTGAAGAGTGATTAATATGTGTCAGATCTTGGCTAGGTCCACTTTTCCAAGGCTCTAAATGTGCTCAGAGGAAACATAGCCTGAAAAAATAAGCCTTCCCAAGTAACACTTTCCTTGCCCTGGGAGCCGTACCTTCTTCCACATTCGGGTGTTGTCTGAGCGCCCTGGGCTTTCCGAAGGAAGTGGGTCTGTCACAGCTCTTAGCAAGGCTTATCAGAGCCACGTTATCTGCCCCTTTTGGGTGATGACTGCTCACTGGCTCAGATGCAGAATGGGAAGAGACATGAGTTTCCATTCCTCACTTTAGTAAGTTGAAACAATTATTACTTAAAGGGAACCTTTAAAAGACACCATTTATTGTGGGTCCAGGATATCTCAAATGCTATGCTAAAAGTTTATATGCAGCAAATCATTTAATTCTCACAATAACCCAATCAGGCATTAACATCTGTATTCCACATAAGCAGACACTGCAGACAGCTCCTCAGGGTTATAAATGCTTGTGAGTGGATGCTTACATTGCATCAGACCAGGGTTTAAACCCAGATCTGTTTGACTCCAACGCTTGTACTCTTTCTTTACTTTCCACTGCCAACAAATACCCACTGATCTCCATTTGATTCCGTTTGCAGGAGGACTGACTTGGTGGATCCAGACTGGTCTGTCTCAAGGTGACCAATAGTTGGTCTTGACCCTTGGGTTACTTTATTTTAGATTTAGAGTCTCAGGTTGCCCAGAAGCTCATAGAGGGATAGAAATAGGCTACTCTTGGTCAGTTACCGCTCTGATTTTTTTGTTTAGTTGCTAAGTTGTGTCTCTTAAGATGCCTGCTGACTGATACTTTGTTAAAAGTAACTTTAAGTTGAACTACTATATTAATCAATCGACCTATTTGAGAAAAGGTAACTCCCTTTTTATTACATGATTACATGATAATTCATCACATGAATGTTTAACATTCATATAGGAATGATAATTTATTTAAAGTTGAGGCACAAAATTGGCCTGAATCCTAACCATTATGACCCTGAATTCGATTATATAGCCAGGGGGTGTTGGTTTACTACCACAAGCAGAAAGCTATATAGAGAAAGATGTAAAATTTAATGAGCACCTGTGGTTTACATCCTGACACTCCTCTCATTTACTTTTATCAGATTTTCTGCTTACAAACTTCACCTTTCAGCTTAATATCTGTACTAAATCCAAATATCTCACTTTGTGTTCCTTCCACTTTCACCTGTAGCATCCTCACAGGACATTTTTCTAAGCCTATAATCTTCGGATGGCTTTTGCAAACTGAAGAGTTTGGTCTACATTGCACTCTGCTCTTTTAATTTAAACACTTTATTCCTTAAAGACCATCAAGGATGTAAGCACATATTGTAGAAGGTTTCCCAAGCCCTGTCCGAACATTCCAAATAAATCCATAGGTACTTGGAGCAGGAGTAAATAAGCTGATGGAAAAACATATTTATTTTTAAAAAGCAATGTAAAACTGCATAAATAAATTTTGATAAAGAATTGGTTAACTGCTAAATTGAGAAGTATCAAGCTATATGTCAATAAAATAGAGAAAATAAAAACAAAACTGTAGCATTTTAAATAAAAAATTTTAAATGTTGAAGGAATGATGTGCAGAATGCTTAATGTTAACAATTACATTGGCTTAATTTTCAAATTTGATGAAAATATATTAATAGGCTGGGGAGAGGGAAGAAAGATTGCTTTCTTTACCTTATAAAATGGAACTTTAGAAGTCAAATATTTACTGGAAAAAACTTAAAGCTAAAATGTTGATATTATCTTTAGTCTTAAACCATATGCCCTAATTTTATCTCTTGACTGTCCTTCACAATAAATAAAATTCTTGCAGCAAACACACAAACAAAAAGAACTACAAAGAAGCTAACAGATTCACTGTGCTTCCTACATGTGCTAGTGGTAAAGAATCTGCCTGCCAATTCACGGGGCATAAGAGACACGGGTGTGATCCCTGGGTTGGGAAGATCCTCTGGAGGAGGAAATGGCAACCCACTCCAGGATTCTTGCTTGGAAAATTCCATGGACAGAGGAGCCTGGCAGGCTACAGTCCTTGGAGTTGCAAAGAGTCAGACATGACTGAGCATCTGAGCACAAAAGATTTACTGTGCTTAAGGTGAGCTATTTCACTATGCATGCCTTTAGGAGTGTTGGAATAGTCTAGAAAAGACTATGGTTCATTGAATAATTAACGTTAAAAATGATGACCTAATTCAGTTCTTGCAGTAGACTTGGGGTTAGGTTAGTCTCACTCCACTTTTACAGAGGAATAACTGAGGCTCAGAAAATTCAAGTGGACAAGGCAGGATTTGAATCTAAAACCCATAAGGAATCCTCTTCTCTATTTTATCACAGGGCCATCTTTAACAAGCTGCCCATAAAATGCTTGCTTTAAACTTACTTAATATCTGATAACATTTATTTATTGAGCAGCATCAGTTAACTTTACTGAAGATAATTTTAGTGCCCTAAAATGTTTTCAACAGAGCAGAGACATTTTCTCAGTGTTTCACAAAATTTGAAAACTGTATTTAGCCAACCCTAAATTATATTTAAAAGTCTTAGTGTTTCTTATCTGATTTTTTTCTCCTAGTCTCTTAAATGAACATTTTCCTCTGATTCCTACTTCAATATTTTAAAATTGAGAAAATGAACTATTATGAAGGCAAGTAAATTATGATGAGTTCCAAGTTTAACTTTATAATTAAAAATAGTTCTTGGTAGAGAAGGAACTAAGAATGCGAAAGAATGATGTCTCATTATGGTAGAAATCTATTAAATGCCACTGAAAAGAAATTCCAAAAGACAGTAGCAGTTCTATAATGCTTCGTATTCCATAGGATACATGGATATCCTGGGACCCATATTTTCCTTAAAATACGGGAATATACATAGAGAAAATCAAGTGTCATGTTTGTTAAATTTGGCATAACTTTCACAATGCTCCTTAATTTCCCTGCTTCTCCAGATTTGATACTGCTTAGGGTGACAAGAGAAAGCTTAATTCTAGTGGAGAAGTGGGTCATGGAAAATGGTAACATTATCTTGGACATTTCTGCAGTAAGACAATTGGAAATTCTGCTGAATCAATTTAAATGGCTGGATTTCACAGCTATTATTTCCTCCAAACTGGTCTTTCTCTCCCCTTGTAACAAGATGTTTTACCAGCTTCATTCTTTCCAATGGAAGTCTGTCTCCACCCATACCACGCTTGTTCCCATTTTAGGACTTTGCACTTGCCTGTCCCCTCTGTCTGGATTCCTCTGTATCCAGATCTTTTCACAGGCTCAAATATCACCTTCCCAGAGACAGGTTTCCTGACCTCCAAATTTAACATAGTCCCCAGTTCTCAGTCACTCAAATAATTCCTTCCATATTTCTTTCATTACATTCGTTGCATCTTGAAATTATTAAATTTTTTTTGCATTCTGAAATTTATTTGTTTACTTGCTTAATACCTATAACCATCTCTATAATTACACCTTGATAACAATGGGCTATTTTATTGTTTTTTTATCTCACTATGTTTACTTTAATTATAATATGCATGGTAAATAGTGGTGTTCAGTAAACACTTTAGAGAGAACAATTAAGGGGTCATTTTGAATTTCAGTTATTGTATTTTTATAAAGACTTAGAAGACCAGAGCCATCATCAGGGACTATGTCCACCCAAACGCACTGATCTGAACTCAGGTGTGAATGAGCTTTGCTGGAGGTAAACTCATGTTCATATCTGGAACTCAGAGCTTTCCACTTTCAGTTCTATTAATGGAGGAATGAGGTGACCAGACTGTGTCTGTCAGTCATGGCTGGGAGAGTGAGAATGCTGGTCTTTATAAGTGTCAAATTTTTTGATACTTTGTAAGTGTCAAAACTTAACTCTTCAAATGTGGTTTGAAGTTTTGACATACAAATTTCAGAAATCCATGACTCTTAAAGAAAAACTTTTGACTTTATATTTCCTGCATTGGAACATTTTATTTTTATTTTTGAAGGCAGTTTTAAAATTCATTAATGAATATTTTTCTAATAACCAAGTCAACTCTGCGTAGGTGAATATTTTAATCCATAGCATAGGGGCTTTCGGTTTCTTGTGACTTCTTGCTTTTGAAAACATTACATTTTAAGTATGTCTAGTCGATTGTCATATATATTAAAATCAGACTGGAAAGATATATACTGAATACACTGAAAGGATAGGCTTCTGAACTTTAAAGCTAATTGTTGAGTCCCTTCTATTGGATGAATGGGTAACTTGAGCAGGTTAAATGTGTCATCCTTATATTTATTTTTAAAACAGACAAAATAATGTTTATGTCTTATCTCCTATAATGTTTTGGGAATTGACACGCTCCTCTATAGAGATGACATAGTTAAACAATATTTTTCATCTAAAAAGAAAGTAACATGAATAATGCTTTACAAAGCTTAAAATACTGCACAAACGTAAATGATTAACTTCAGCCTCAAAAAAGTTTGATTTTTAACTCTCAGGTTAATACATAATATAAATACATGAAATAAAGTTAAATAGTTCAAGTGATTGCATGTGGCCTGAAATTCAAACAGTTGTGTAACAGAAATCTGCTTGCCACAGATTAAACTAAATCTCACATGTAAACATGAAAGGAGATAAGTTCTCAAACTTAAATATTAAGGGGGGTGAAGGTCAGTCACATCAATTGCCTTGTTGTAACATCTTTCAAGCAAACTTTGTTGGGGTCCGTCTACCAAAAAGCCATTTGAAGATTTAAAAACATTTTCTCCTGGCTTCCCAAATAGTTCTGTTAGCTCTCAAACCATTTTTATCAAAGGCTAGATTTCTAAAACACATTTGCAACTGAATATGTCCTCTCTTGACCCTGTGGTTTTTGATATGCAGTCCGTAGATGACTGGCTTTAGAGTCACAGATACGTGAATGAAAATGCATGTGCATGTCTCATCCAGTCCGTCACTTTTGGGAGATGACCGGAACCAGTTTGGACTGCTAGCAAACATCAAGCTCTATCAGTGGCATTGCATTAGTGGTATCGTATTAGTGGTATTGTATTAATGGTATTGCAGTCTTTTCAGACACATCTGGGGGCTATATGAATCTGCCTTCACAATCTAATTACCAAAAGATATGCTTTGATGAAAACGTCTCTGATCAAATACATTTACACAGTTTTACAAACACTCTTTTAAAAGAAATGTCATCTTCCTGAGATGCCTTCCACCTTTAGGAAGAATACAAATATTAGCAGCCACTGAAAGAAATATTTACTGTTTTACTTGTTTTTAATCCCTCTAAGATTTTAAAAGTCCTTTGATCCTTTTACTAGTACCTGACTTCAGAAAAGTAAATCTTTTTTTTTTCATTCTTTTCTTTTTTGATGCTTTTTTATCTATTGGGTCAACATGCTAACAACGACAGAGTGGTGGCTTGTTCTGCAGGGGTTTTTGAATCGCGTGTTCAAGTCAGGTCCATGATTAAGTGAAGACAAGCCTAATAACCAAGTGCCTTTTAGTAGTGGAAATATCACGGCTGCATGCTGGAGGTTGCCATTTTAATTTACTCTCAGCTGATCCTTGTCTTACTGAGGCTACCAAAGAAGGGTGGCAAGACCGCTAATTGAAATAGCGCTGTTCAGAGTGACTCGGAGTGCATGGAGGACGCACGCTGCTGAGAGTCTGTTTATTGATCTTAAGCAAGTGAACACAGCCACCTGATGGGGATGAAGCCACTGCTATTAATACAGTGCTCCTTAGGTCTCTAAAGACTTTCATTTGCTTCACGGCTATTTTCAGTCGTTAGTTAGCATTAACTAAAACTTGCCTGTCCCAATTTCTCTGAATCATTGTATTATTCATTTTAAACTGGTTTAATGATAGCACTCTTTTGAAGGTTTTCTTTCTTTTTTTCATCAGAATTAGAGATAAAGGCACATAGCTGATGCACAGTAAAACACAGCTGTGATTTTTTTCCACTCAGTGTACTACTGATAATGGGAAACTGCATGGACTGTGGTTAACTTGGACAGGACAGTTAAATGCCCATGACACTCTTTCAGTGCCCACGCTTCCAACGTGTCTTTGGAGAAACCAAGCTTCACATGACTTCAACCCCCTGTTTCCGGTGTAGCTGGTAAATGTATTTCTACATTCACACAAAAATCTACTTTAATTTCTTCTAGTCCTAAGGGTGCAGGATCAGAGCACAGGATGGACCATAACATATCCTCCTCTCTTCTATTCCTAGGGCTAGAAGAAGAAAAAGGAAATTTACATTAGAATCCCTACAACAGGATTTCAGAAAAGATTCTTGTTCTTTGTGCTAAAGGCCAAATAGCAAGATTTTAGTGAAAGTCCCTTCAGGTCTTGTCTCCCATATACAGATTACTTGTTTAGTTGCTAGAGGCCTTGTTCTGAATCTGCTCTGCTGTTACTTGAATTTCTCGGTTATGTCTGACTCTTTGCAACCCCTGGGACTGTAGCCCGCCAGGCTCTTCTGTCCACGGGATTCTCCAGGCAAGGATCCTGGAGTGGGGTACCATTTCCTCCTCCAGAGGATCTTCCCGACCCAGGGATCGAACCCATGACTCTTAAATCTCCTCCACTGACAGGCGGATTCTTTACCACCAGTGCCAACTGGAAAGCCCTTAGGCAAACGACAGCTACCTAAGTATGTAACTTAAGCTCAGCTGATCTCTTAGACGGACTTGGCCGCAAGTGAAGAATTTTAAGGACTCTTAAAGATCTCTGATAAAACACTCCTCCTTTAGCAATGACTGCATGGCAAAAGTGCGCAGGGTCTTTCCCTGCGGTTTCTTACGGCTCCTTTTTGGAATCAGAAAATGTTGCAGAGGTGAGCCAAGCAGCAGTTCTCAGCTGTGACTTGAAAGGCCTTGAGTTTCCAAACGTCATGGTTGAGAGTGAAAAGGTGTTGATTGCATTCCCTTATACCTACTTTATCTGGCTGGTGGTGGAGTTCCTTAACATGCAATACTTGTGTAGTGCTGTTAACAGTCCTAAATCCTTTAAGACTGCCCGGGAGTGTGCCTTTGACTACTTGGTAAAGTTCCACATAACCTTTGTGCAACTGCGTGATGATTACAAAATGAGGGGATGACATGTTGGCTGGTGCCTTAGTTTTCCATCATCACCCGGGAGGCAGCCGGAACCGGTCTGGTGAGAAAGAACTCCAGGAAAAGCCTCCGCAGCTTCATGTCGGTAATGCTTGTGAAACGGAGACCCAGAGTCCAGAAGAGCCCTCAAGGGCCTCCGTGTACGAATGAAGCTCCAGCGAGCATGAAGTCCGTGTCGTGGGCTTCCTAGGGCGAACAGGGCTGAGTTTACGCAGTGATTGGATCTGAGAAGATGAATTCATCCTGTTGCCGATTTCTGGGGACGCTAGCTGGCTGGGTTTAGGTCTGACATTCTTAGGAAGTGGTCTTGTGTTCCCCCTGTTCCAGGCTCCAGGAGTGCTCAGATATCCGCTTGCAGAGTTGGACAGGATTCAACTGCTAGCGGCTGGTACCAGCTGTTGCTACATGTTTCAATCCTAATTTTGTTTTTTGGTGAAGGCTGTGTTTCTAGTCCTTCCTCTCCCCGCTTACAATACTACACAAATAGTGCCATGTGGTTTGCTGGGGAACTTGATAGTATTAGTAAAGGCCAGTGGCTCCTTCCAAAGGCACACCGACTATTAACATAAAGTTACTTTTGGAAATAAAGCTGAGTGTGCTGTTTATTTTGGTTGCTACGCTTTTAAAAGAATCACTTTTTAAAAGGAGAGGTGGCAAACAAAACTGTGCTGAAGGATTCAAGTCCTTAAAACACAAAGTTGGAACGATGAGGAAGAAAGGGATGATCATCTAACAGCAGCTAGACGTCATGAAGCTTGAAGAAAAGATAGGGTGTCTTTTATTAGATCAGATATTAGCAGCAGTGTCTGGCATGATGAACATGCCTTCTGCATGAGATGAGTATGACATCCACTCAGAAAGCAGCTCCGCGGGGAGAGAAGCGCCAACCATAATAGATGTGACCTTTCAGAGCCTTGACCGTTGGCACTGTGGAAGGGTAATCCTAGATCACCCATTTTTCCATTTAGATGCAGCAAAGACTGACAGGGCAGCTGTCCTGCCTCAACCAACAGATTTATGGTCTGCTCTCGGTCTCCTTCCCGCTTGCCTCTTTCAAAGTGAACTTGAAAGTCCAGTACTTTCCATTCCCTCTGCAGAGAACCTAGAGGCGAGGCACCATTATATTATTTTTGTAAGGCTCCTGTTGAGCCAGTGCAAAGATGGATGATAAATGGAGGCACCTGAGAGATTTTTAAATCTATTAGATTTAGGAGGATTGAAATATAGCTACGGACAAGACTTGAATTGCCGTGTCTACACAAAGCTAAATTGAGCCCAGCTTAATCCTCTCGTCACAATATGAACAAAGCCTAAGACAAATGGTACCACGGCAGTTGGGCACCACAACTTCTGGTCATTGAAATGAGCTGTGGATTGAGGGTGTGACTCACCATTGCGCCCACACTGCCGTTGAGGTCACCAGCCTGCCTCCTTAGCCGTCAAAGCTGCCCCCAGATCACTTCAACCCAACTTTAGGGGAAGGACAACGCAAGTTTGCAGGGATTTCAGTGACCTATTGCTCCTTAGAGTGTAAAATTGGGCGGGGCATCCCTGCGTGAGGGAGGGGAGCGAATCACATCCACTGCGTGTTATAAGAAGCACCTACAGAAGCCTAACCGTTCTCATTTTCCTCAGGGGGAAAAGTGCTTAAAAACTAGTCCAGTTCAGTTCGGTTCAGTCGCTCAGTCATGTCTGACTCTTTGCAACCCCCATAGACTACAGCATGCCAGGCCTCCCTGTCCATCACCAACTCACGGAGTTTACTCAAACTCATGTCCACTGAGTTGGTGATGCCATCCAACCATCTCATCCTCTGTCGTCCCCTTCTCCTCCTGCCTTCAATCTTTCCCAGCATCAGGGTCTTTTCCAATGGGTCAGCTCTTCACATCAGGTGGCCAGAGTATTGGAGCTTCAGCTTCAGCATCAGTCCTTCCAATGAATATTCAGGACTGATTTCCTTTAGGATGGACTGGTTGGATCTCCTTGCAGTCCAAGGGATTCTCAAGAGTCTTCTCCAGTCCAGCAGGAATGCTATAGCTGCGTTCTGGCATAAACATGTATGAGCCTGTCTTTTCTGGAAGTCGCACTCTGTTTTTAGTGCCCAGTTTGAACGTCAAGCCGACACTGGACTGCGGGCTCAGTTCCGCCGGGAGCCATGCTCCCGGGTCCTCTGCACCTCAGCCCCCGGGCCCCACCCGCGCCCGGCCCCTGCCCTCGCCCGAGGCTGCCCGCCCGGCCCCGCGGGCCGCTCTGACCGCCCCCGCCCGCCAGCCTTGCCCAGCCTCCGGCTCAGGACCTCTCATGCTGCCCTGGCTCAGACAACCACTTAGGCCAGGGGCTGAGAGCTCTTGCCAGAGAAGAAGACTGCCCGCGGACCGAAGCGGCAGCGAGGGCAGGCTGGCATGAGCCAGAAACAAAGGCCAGCGCGCGCTCTTCAGGGAGGAAATGAGGGGGAAAGCACCTGTCCTACATGCGAGAGGAGAAAGCAAGAAAAGCGTGGGCCGGAACTGTGTGCCGCGCCGAGGATGGCACCAGGCTGTGAACGCGTCACTCCGCTGACTTGGCACTTGCGGCTCCAGTCTCTCATTCATGGTATGTTTATTTATGACTTTAAGTTTCTCGGTGGATAATAAGTTCATGTGGTTCTAAACTTAAAGGTATAAAAGGGTACAAAATTAGAAAAAATCTCCCTCAATCATCGCAGAGAGAACCACAGTTATCAATTTTGCTCATACTTTCTAGTTGATAAATACACATGAAAAAAACTGCAGATTTTCTCTTTCAAAGAGTACAGTTAGTATACTCTGTATATGTTTTTGGCCTTCGCCTCTCCCCCTTAGCATGTTATTTAATTTTTAAAATTAATTTTTTTTTCATGGACAAATAACCCCAAATTTCTCTTGGGATCAAGTACAGCTAATATCTTGAAACCACAGAATGAAGTGGCTTTATGGAAAGCAAGAAAATAAGGCACATTAGAAAATTTCCTCAATTCTTTGGGCATGAGAGGAAAATAAGAAAAAATTACTTCCACTTTGTAAAAGCTTTGTGGATGATAAGATCACTCACCAATATACCAGATTCCCGGTTGCTCATTTGAAATTCCTGGGACCACATGAGCTTCAGAGTTTAGAACTTTTCAGATCTTATAGGATCATTACAGGGCAGATATTATATACATAATGTCCTTAATGGGGCACTAAGGAGGTGGAGGAGTACCCTGTAATTTAACATTTTACTATTTTTATATGAAAATGTATGGCTAGTCATAATAAGTGACATAAGTAAGGAGTATAATTAGCTTCATATCAGTTCAGGTCAAGTTTTGTTCACAAATGAGTTCAGGCCAAGTCAGGTCAGATTTTTGCAGAAAAGTTTTTGGTTTGCAGAAAGTTTTGGATTTCATGATTGGGAGCAAGTCATGGTGGATCTGTATTTCCCTGTCCTGCGTGAACTGGGTCAACATAACGGCAATGTGCATGGTAGGAACACCACCAGCTCTAGACTCAGGAGTCTGACTACCTGCTCTACCGCTCAACCCTGAGATGACATTGTGGACGGGGCAGTACTGACCAAGACTCAGAGTCCAGGAAGCTCCAAGGAGCTTTTGAAAATGAAACCTCCAGAAAGTGCATGGCCCCAAACCAGCCTGCAGGACTGAAGCAGTCTGGGCTCATCAAGAATCGGACTTGGGAAGCTGTCCCACGCCAGGCATTTGTGGTCACCCTTTCAGACTGGGACCATCTTAATTCATTTATGTATTCACTTACTGAATATTTGTGAATGCTGAATAATCATAGTTCTATTGGATGACATCACTGACTCAATGGACATGAGTTTGAGCAAGCTCTGGGAGCTGGTGATGGACAGGGAGGCCTGGCATGCTGCCGTCCATGGGGTCGCAGAGAGTCGGATACGACTGAGTGACTGAACTGATCTGAACTGACTGATGAAATTATTCAAGAAACATTGGGAGATGACCCTATTTTCATGGGAGTTAGAACTTACTGGGGACTTATAACAAGTAAACAACAACCAAATACCTGAGAATTGTAAGTTCTTTAAAGGACTAAACTAGGTAGGGAGTGGTGAGGGCAAGAACAGGCTACTTTAGGTTAGGCAAACAGAGAGCCAGCTGAGAGATGCGTTCTTCACGTCCAGAGGAGCCGGCACCGCTGCGTGAAGGGCAGGACTGGAGGGCCCCGGGCTGGCGGAGCCGCCAGCTGCTCCTCGGCCCGCAGCCCTCCGCGCCTGGAGCCCCGGGCCGGCTCCTTCTCGTCCTGCAGATTTCAGATCCAGAGCTGTCTGCTCAGATCTTCCTGAGCTCGCTCAACTCAGCTTCTCCACCTCTGCCAGTCACTTTCTACCCGCGACCCTGATCGCTTTAGAGCGCTTACAACCATTTAAAATTACCTTGCTTGTTTTTGCACTTGCTAACTGTGTTTCCTCTCTTAAAAGGAAAACTTCCTAAGACCCCTGATGTCCGGCACCTGTGGGTATCTAAATATTTGCTGAATGACTAAAGGAGGAAACGATGCAAAGGCCCTAGGGTAGAAAAGAACCTGGTGAACTCTAGGAAATGAAATCAGGCCTTTGGGTCTTGTCGCGTTAGTGGCCCCCAATGAACCCTGCCTCCTGCTGTCCGTGACCTTATGGAACCAACACCGACCCCCCCCCCCCCCATCGACTTTGGGCTTGGCTGCATGACTTCATCGGCTCATGGGACATCAGCGAACAACAGAAGCTTGGTAAGTACTTATTTGGAACACAGGTGGGCCTTGAGAGTGAGCCCGCCTGGTCTTGCCTCCTGCAAGTGGAAACACCACTTGGAGAGCCAAGCCTGATCACCCAAGGGTGCCAACAGAGTTTAGCTTCCTGCCGAGCCTCTGGTTAAACACAGCTGCAGGAGCGGGCCCAGGCAAAACCAGAATAGCCTTCCTAATCCCTGAACCCCCGCACCACACAGTTGTGAGATAAAAAAAATAGTTGCCTTAAATCACAGATTTTTGGGGGTGGTCTGCTACCAGCAAAAGAGCAGAAGCAAAAAGTGAAGCACAGTGAACAGGGGGAACTGATACGAAATGCGTTCAGAGAAGTAGGCTCGGAAACGCCACTCAGGGCCTTCTACGTGAAGTTCTTTTACACTAAATGAGGTGGAAAATCATTAACAGGTTTGAAGGAAGGAAAGGACTTATGACTGATGAGATCAGTTAATAGGCTGTTCCAGTGCTCTGGCCCTGCTTTGACGAGTGGAATTGGGTGAAAGAGACTGCACCGATTTCCAGGCTCAGGCCTGGAGGCTGATAACTTCAACTTCCTTTATCCAGGACTAGGCTCTTGGAGGCTTGTGTCCGCATTTAAAAAGTTGATTGCCCTGCTAGAGAAATCATATTAAGAGGTCCTAAGTCACAGAGCTCCCCAGATTCAGCAGGAGGGGACATACTCCAGTTTTCTTTAGGAAGAGTCTAATCTGCCTGAAGACCCCAGATATTATCGTTCACATCTCACAATAACACTCTTAAGTTGCTAATAACATTTAAAATTCTATGGATGAGAAAAATAAAGCTTAGTTGGTTTATGCCACTTTGTTTAAAGTTTCATGGAGGTAGCAACTCCAAACACAGACTATTTCTACTAGAAGAGATTAGGTTGGCTCTTCTGGCTGCAGTGGAGAGTCTTGGTGGCAGAAAGAGAGGAGGCGAAAGTTGTTAGTCAGGAAGAAGGTATGAGAAAGGAGGGGATATTCTAGGGAAACAATTCTTACCACCCTTCTCTTATCCCAACCCAAGTACTCTGACCTTCAGCAACAACCATAACCACAATCTCCGAAGAATACCTCCTTATTCTAAGTTTTCCACACTATAATTGCTTTAAATTCCATTAGAAGGAAAAAATAATTATTGAAGCATTATTTTCAGTGATTAATAGCTAAAAGCTGGAAACAAATACCATCCAGTAGGAAAATGGACCAATTCATTGCCATAGAATGGAGTATAAACAGAACTATATGCATCAACACAGATAAATCTCAAAAACATAACTAAGCAAAAAAGTTAAATTGGATAATAATAGATATAGTATAATACCAATTACATAAGTACACCCCCTTCTCCTCCTGCTCTCAGTCTTTCCCAGCATCAGGGTCTTTTCCAATGAGTTGGCTCTTCGTATCAGGGGGCCAGAGGACTGGGGTTTCAGCTTCAGCATCAGTCCTTCCAATGACTTTATAGGCTTGATTCCTCTAGGATTGACTGGCTTGATTTCCTAGGAGTCCGGCAGACTCTCAAGAGTCTTCTCCAACACCGCAGTTAAAAAGCATCAGTTCTTTGGTGCTCAGCTTCTTTATGGTCCAACTCTCACATCCATATACAATTACTGGAAAAACCATAGCTTTGACTATACGGACCTTTGTCAGCAAAGCGATGTCTCTGCTGTTTCATATGCTATCTAGGAAACAGTGGCAGGTTTTGTTTTCTTGGGCTCTAAAATCATTGCAGACAGTGACACAGCCATGAAATTAAAAGACACTTGCTCCTTGGAAGGAAAGCTATGAAAAACCTAGAGGACTCTAAGGGTGAGTGGGGGTGAGGTTTCGATTGGGGTCAGAGTATAGAGAATCTTATTCCAGCAGATCTGATCAAGAAATCAGTGACTTAATTTGTCCTTACAAGTTGGTGGGTGAGGCTTCAGGAAACATAAACTACACTGAAAATCAGGTATACCGGAAATAGCTAACAAAGAAAAATGAGGTTCAACGAAGTGTGAGTGATCTCATCAGGACCTTTATTATTTTAACTGGTGGGGAGAGTTTGAAAGGAGCAAAACATTGGGCTTCAAACTAAAAGAAAGCTGACGGACGTGGAGATAGCAGTGAGGCTGAAGGTAAGCCAGAGAAACAGACCTATTGTATCAAAGGTTCTCTGCTTTTTCTCTGGGCAAGAACCCAGTGGAAGCAGCTTGCAATGGCACTTTACATCTAGTTGACAACGTGGTGGAGGTTATAACACAGTTTATTCCACCATGGCTCATATGACCTCCTTCAGTTACCCTGGGATGTCTAGACTTTCTGAAAACTGAGCCCTAAGTTAAGCACAACTGACTGAAAACCTATTTACCAGTGTTATATATGACATACCACTGAGGAGACCAAATTCTTTGGAGGAACATGGTGAGCATGTGGTAATTGTCCCAGACAGATTAATTTTCCTGGTTGTATCATTTGGTTAATGGAAGAGGAAAAAAAAGAAAGAAAGAAAGAAGAAGAACAAGACATAAAGATACAGAAAGAACAGTTTAAGCTCCATTAAGTCTCCATCATCCAGTCTTCGGGAACAAATTACATAGTCCTTTTCCCATAAGTCCTTCCAGGAAAACTTAAAAAATGAGATTTCTTTCTTTTTTTTTTTTTAGTCTTTAGCCCATCATGTTTGAAATAGTCACTTCTTAAATAGTCATATCTTAAATAGAAAATCAAGCCAACCATTTTATTTATAAGTTGAAATACCATTGTTCCCTGAAAACAGGTGCACATGTGTTCCAAATACATTATTCACCTTTACTTGTTAACCTATAAGGTGAAAATTAAATATCAA